GGGTCACAAACCCTTCACATGCCAGGCTGGGTCACCAGACCCCTCACATGCAGGTCTATGAACTAGGTCACCAACAAACAGGTCCTTGGAAGCTGCAGGTTCAAGAGCATGTGTGTGTGGAGCTGATGTCCAGAGCCAGCCAAAGTGGCAGTGCCCTGCAGGCACACTAACTCCCCCCCCCCCCCCCAATTTGCTTACAAAGAATGCACGGCACCATCCCCAACTGGACCTAAGGCAGGGGGCCTGACCTAATTATTCCACTTTCCCAACACTATGTTGCCCAGCCTGCAGTGCAGTGGTTCTTCACAAGTGTAATCCCTCAGCTGATCAGCATAGATATATATTACTATTTTCCCTTCTTACTCCAAAACATTATATACATAGCATGAACCTTGCTGTTTTGTTTCTCGAAAATATTTCCTGGACATCACTCCATATCAGTTTAGAGAAAATGCTCTTATCGTTTTTTACAGTGGCATAGTATTCCCTCTTGGGGACACACTTGTTTATTTAATCAGTTTCCCACTGATAACCACTTGTCAGAGCTGGCTGGTTAGCTCAGCTGGTGAGAGTGCAGCCTTATAACTCCAAGGTCACGGGTTTGGATCCCCATACCGGCCAGCCACCAGAAAAAAATAAAAGAGGAAAAAAACCACTTGTCACATCTTTTGCTGTTACCAAATAGGGATTATTATTCCATGCTGAGTCCCCCAGAGTCGTGAAGTCTTTCTGCACAGAGTGGATTGTCAATGACCAATTTAGAAAGGAAGGAACAAAAGAAGAACGAACCAGTGAACGAATGAACGAATGAATGAATGATGGATGAAGCAACAACAAATGAGCGAAGGAGGGGTGGTAGAAAGGTAGCCCAGCCCGCCCACTGGTACGCGTGCTGCACGTCTTCTCCACCAGGCGGCGCTGCAGGCAGCAGGCACGCCTCCCCAGGAGGGCCGCGCCGCTCTTGCCGTGTGCGCCCAGGCGACTCGGGAACGGCGCGGAGGAGGGGAACGTAGGGCGAGTCATATGACCCGCTCTGCTTCCCGGCTCCG